CTATATGTATGAATTAATGTGTTCAATATCAGGGATAGAGCGTGCATATGTAAATATAAAATTGAACATAGGAGTCAACACCCAGTGGCGATAGTGATTCATGTATAAACGCAATTACCAGGTCATATATATATATATATATATATATAATAAAAGGAAGATATATTTATGAACTAGTATTTACCTTCAGGATTATTCATAGCGCTAACTATTTGCCACTTCTTCAGATAGAGAATAAGAAAAAGTTTAAGACAGAATATTTTAGTCTTGTTTAAAAGATGCTTGTTTTGCTTCCTTACTCGTGGCGTGTTTACTGTGCGTGTGTAAAAAGCAAAAGTTACAAAGCGTAATTCATTCTCAAGCCAAGAAGTCATTTAAAGCTGTATTCCGAAAGAAGAGAAAAAATTGCTAACTACAAAAACATTTCTAAAAATACACGCATGTACACAAAACTTTAAGTTAGGTAAAACGCAAAGGAACAATTTTATGCCCTGTCAACTAGCTAAGATGAATACACGGTGTCAGTGACATGTTTGCGCATGCGTGTTTCGTGTATATCTTGCGTCGTAGTCGAATCTCTTTCAAGTGTCCAGGCGTTGCATAGCGTTAAAGATACTTATTCAGTTTTTTTTTTTTTTTTACTTCTCCATTTTTGGTTAATTTTATCCATGAAAGAAGTCAATGTAGTTGACGCGGACAAGAGAATGAATATCAGAAAACCAAATAGAAAGTAATAAAAAGCAAACCAAAAACCTAGATAACACCTAAAGAAAAGAGCACGCAAAAGTGAATCTTTTACTTTAAGAAAACAAAAAGTTTACAAGGAGCAAGCCAAGGCTGCTTTTCAAGCGACATTATTATTGTATGCTTAAAAGATATTTTGCATAGGGAATGGGGGGGGCATACTGAACGTCATATATACGGGAATTAATAAGAATTCTGGTTTTCTGTTACAAACTCGACCAAAAGTCTTGCTAATCAACAGTTAGCCTGATGACACTTTAACAGAAAAATATCCACACAATGTATATGTTGCAGATTTAGGCAACAATCTCTTTAATACAGGTTTCGCTGAACAAGATTGATAAAATACTGTTTAGTGTTTTTATTTATTTTTTTTTTGTATGTGCACAAGTGTCTTTTTTCTAGACATAATGAATGGAAAAATTGTCTTAAGGTTTGTTGATTTCGAGCGCTTTCTACTAAACCATTGGCCATTTTCAAGGATTATTTATTATTATACTATTAAAATAAATAGTATGCAAGTGCTGTTGAAGCCGGTATAAAAGTTGATGAAAGTAGACGTTATATATATATATATATATGGGATCAACGAAAACGGATGAAAAAAGACAAGTGGATTTTAACACAAATAAAATAACTTTTATTCATTTACTGCCTGAGAACGGCAAGGGTTTGTTTGGATTTAAACCACGAATTCCAAAGTGCGTGTCAGCTTATCAACATGTTATGTGCCGCGATCCAACTAGCTGACAAGGGACGTAACTCAATTGCATTTCGAGTTATCGTCCTTTATAGTTGTTTGAGTAAGTTTGCACTCCCTAACACCCCACTTTTTTAGCCTTGTGCTAGTACGACTTTTGTCGGGGAGATAATTGCAGTGGGTATAGCTTCGTAGGGGGTTGTCCTTCCAGAGTGATTGGCAGAGGAGAAGAAGGGTTTTTCCCCCGTCAGAGTAGATGGTAGGGTCACAAACCGACTCAGTGATGTGGGGATGGGGTTAAGGTAAATCTCCGGCATGGCTTCGTAGTCGATGGGATTTTCTTTGTGCACTTTTTTGCAGGAGTCCTATCTTTGTCTCTTGGCATTACTTGGGAACTGAGGCAGTTCAAAGGTGTCCAACAGAATGTCCAGCGGTAAGAGTAGTTTATTTTGGTGTCTGGAGGATGTGATGGCCTTAATTGGTTTGCATGTCGAACCCAGACTGAAGACTGTATATACACGTCATATGTAACGTTTCCAAAGCGATGTGTAATGCGTCCTTGGATCCATTTTTCTTTATCGTTTCGGTAATCTTTTCCAAGTACAGATTGCCCTGGTATATCGTTGCGTTTCACCGCTGGCAGTTAAATTGCTCTTCTATCACAGTGTTCCTTTTTAGGGAATGATTTGTAATCGGATGGAGGACATCTATGTGTAAAGCCGTAGTTCGCTCTGTGATCAGAGTGAAGTGACGTCCATACAGCATTTTGCGGAACTTTTTAATTGCAAAGACTATTGCTAATGGTTCTTTTTTTTTCAATTTGACTATAATGACACTCTGCTGGTATCCGTGATCTGGATGCATGAGCTACTGCCTTTTGGCTGGCATCAGGGAAGAGGTGAGAAATGACGGCTCCAATACCATAATTGGAATCATCAGATACCAACACAATATCCATGGAGAGGCAGTAAAAGATTGGAAGAAAGTAAAGACCTGACCCGCGTCAGACCACTCCCATGCGATATCCTTTTTCAAAAGATTGTTGTGAGGGTTACA